CAGTATATTAGAGGACCAGAGGACACCCCCAGCACTTTTTCCCCTCTGCTGTTACTCTCTGTGTTGCTCTGCTGTGTTGCTCTGCTGTCTGTGCTTAAGGCTGTACACCCGGGGTTTTGCTTTGCTTGCTTTCTGCTATGTAATTTTCTTGCTAAATGTCTGTATGTATTTTTCCTGCTGTTCGTATGATTCAGTGTATTAAACTCTGTTCCAAGAATTCTACTCTTTTCCAGAGCATCTTTTTGAGTGTCTTGATTTTAATTGGATCTAAAGAGGTTGGATCTCCACATCGTGGGTGGGAGAAGGTTATCAAGATGGCTTCAAAATTTGCGACCACAGATGCCCAACACGTTGCAATCAATCTGAACCAGTCTACGTGAGTGAGAATAAATTTTTTGTGATGTCTCTTTCCTGCAAGGGACTCGAAACAGCTGGTTGCCAATTGGTTGTTTTCTGATTACTTTCCTATAAGGTTGAGCATCAGTTTGCAATTAAATTGCCATCCTGCAGCAGCTGTATCACTATTTGTGGAGGAATTTCAATTTCAAATCTATGCAGTTATGAGTTAATCTATGTGAATTTCTGTGTATGCTGAAGGTGACAGATTCGCGATTTTCACCAGTCTGGAACAGTTAATTACACTATTATTACAAACCGATTGCATGTCATTGCCAACTTGACCAGATTGCAACACAAACTGAAAGGAGACCATTCCATCTTACTGCAGTTTTATCGAGACCAAAAGTCTCTTTGAAGACTGACTGCAAGTGGTTGGAGACCCCCGTCTTTGAAACAACCATGTCAAAGGCAACAAGATTACAGCTTCTGTAATTTTGGTCATGCTGCCTCTCCAACTACTGCTTCCCCTAGTGTGTCTGTAGCATTAATGAGCTACGGTGTAGAGGGGCTGTTTAAGAAAATCAATTAAACAGTTACAAGATTGATTTGCCTTAAAAGCTGAAATGATTTCAATATGGGGCTTTGTGGTGAGAACAGCACGGCAGCGTGTCAGCACAAGGAGATTTAGGCAATCAATAAATAGTCTACAATACACAATGGAAGAATGGGCAGGTGGAATCAAATGGGAGAAACAGACTAGAGAATTTGTCAAATGTCACGATTTTAAAAGGATCTAAACATGCTACTGATGCAGTTAGATTTCTATGCAAATGCATTTTTATGCCATGAACAAAGTATTCACACGACGAGACCAGAGGCAGTAGCATCACATTCCTTTGGGTGAATCATCTGATCAGCACCCCTTCATCTCCTTTTAAATGAACCTATTGCTATGAGACTGACAACCTCTGTCAATCACAAATCTGAATCATTCAGATGTGGTGTGAACCATCAATATGGTTCTCGTTAGACATGAAAACAAACAGAAGGACCTCCCGGATTCACAAACAGCTTCTAGGACTGAACAGGGAGTGCTATTTGTAGCAGTGAGTGGATGTAACATATATGTGGATGTGTGAGGTTGCATGTTACCAGTAGCGACTACATGCTCTTTACGATGTACGATGCACAGCTAACGTCACATCGTAACTGCAGCAGCGCACATGGAAATGTCTGTTCAAGAGGACTCTGAGGTATATGTGCAGGGATCTGTTTGCGCTTGTTCTTGCTAATCTATAAGTTGCACAGTAAAATGATGTGCATCCATGCGTGATCTGATTAAAACATTAAAATTAATGGCAAAAAAACCAATTAATGTAAGTTTCAGCATGGCTTTCTGCTTCTCTGTGAATTCCTCATGCATGTGCTTGTGTGTAAGCCTCGCCTGTTTGCATGAGTGTTTGCGTACATGTACTGTACAGCGTAGCAGATGCCATAATCTCCTCAAAGTCATGCTTTAGGATGAGATTACGAAAACAGTACAAACATTTTGTCTGTTCGGTTTTTTTGTTTTGTTTTTTTGCAATTTCTGTGCAGACCAGCCCTCTGTGCATACACTGCCTGACAACTCTATATAGAGATGCACAGAGGAGCCCCTATAGTTTAAATGCAGGGAGTTGCAGTAGCTCTAATGTAAATGTGGAAAAGATGGATGAAAAGAGAATACTAAACTAAAAGCAAGAGAAGGCTGGGGGTAGCAGAGTAGCAAGTATTTTTTCCAAAGGCAGAGACAAAGAGAAAGCAACAAAGCGATTTGTGAGACACAGCAAAAGGAGAATTTACTTGCATTTCCACTCTTGAATAACTGGGACAGGTCATTTCCTCTTCTGTCATTCCTTTTTCATCCTTCTGCCCTCCCTTCTTCTTCCTCTCTCTTGACCTTACTTACTCCCTCTCTGCCCCTTTAACATTCTCACCAGTGCTTGGGTGTAGAGCCGAAAGGAGAAAAAAAAAATTACTTTTCAGTTCCCACTAAAATGTTTTGACTTCTCCGATAAAAACCACTGGTGTGTGGCAAGTGTGATTATACTATGTGTGAGCGGTTGTGTGTGTTTGAAGACCATGGGCCGAGGATGCCGTTAATTTAACCAGGCTGCAAAATGGTCATGCCTGTCCCATCCGTCAGATGCGTTTGGTGCGTGTGTGTATACATATATATATATGTGTATGTGTGTGAGTGTGTGTGTATATGCGTGTTTCACAAGGCTAGAAAGGTGTTATTACAAAGCTGCCGAATCACTGAGTCTTCTCTACAGATACCATCTGCCATCGACACGCAACCATTTCTGTGGTTGCCCTGAAACATTTATGCAACCCATTACAACATCTATGTCAACCAGTCCTGCTCACACTTAATTAACAAACATATAACCGATGCACGTCCTCATGTCTGCTTGCATGCGAGCATAAGTCTGCCTGGATATACATGCATACATTCTAATAGGCATCCATGTGTGAGTGGGTGACTTTAGCCTCTGAGTGCGTCCATGTGTGCAATGATTACAAATCTGCTTTCCGTAGTTGGATCACACTTGTGGGCAGCGTGGCCACGCCACTGTGAATGTTGATGGACAGCCGGTGAATGCGAGTGAGAGCATTTGGCGGTTTGTTTCCTTTGCGAACAGATTTTGCATTTAACCAGAAATGGTTCAAAAAGAGACAAAACCCATGAAGTTTTTTCAACTCGTGAGTTTGACTAACACTGTATTTCATTCGATGTTTTCTCTAATGAAAATAGTGTTGATGAGGAGGTAAGTTGCATCGAACCGGTGCATTTCTTGCAATCGTAACTAATAGCTATTTCTGAAAATCAAATTCCAGCCTTCTCTTCCCAGTGAAAGCTGTTCCAAACGACATGACTCCACCCAGAGAGAGTAATTCATGCTAAAACCAGATTTAAGCTTGTTTAATGCGCTAATGAAAAGTGCTGTATTTATATGTAGCTGATAGACGGCAATGCTGTGACATCAGGTCCATCTGTGACTCAGTCTAAAGCTGTAATGAGAACATTACAGAGCCCCCAGCAGAGGTACACACACACACACACACACACACACACACACACACACACACACACACACACACACACATTCAAAAGGAAGACAGACAGAAAGAAGAAGAAGATGAGGGGGAGAGATGATCGATGCAAATCTTGTCACCTCCTTTGACTACCATCACCTCTTTCCCTCCTTCTCCTCCTCTTCTTCGCTGCCTCTCCTGCTCCCACTCCTCCTTCTCCCTCCTGTCTCACACACCAGGACCGAGGGCAGCGGATCTAACTCAATACACCATGCAGCAAAAATCAATGACAGACAGAAAGAGACAGAGCTAGGCGACTGAGGGGATGAAATAAGGCGAGGGGCGGCGTAATTTTTTTTTTCGGCGGCTTTGTTGCGCTTTTAAATCCTGTCCACTCCTATTACCCTAACCCTAAACACACACACACACACACACACACACACACACACACACACACACTCAGAAAATGCTAAATGCAGCACATATACACATGCCTGCTGTTTTTTCTGGAGTGTTGCTAATATTACAACAAAAAAATTACACCTTTGAAGACATCACCTCATACAAAAGAAGCTTTTACAAGCTGATACTTAGAGCCTAAACACACACATATATATCATATCCCAAACCCCACTGAATCCACCACAAATGGACTCACACTTTGGCGTTGTATTTTCAACAACCTGCTCAGACACAGAGAGTTTAATATTCATCTAATGGCAAGTCGGGACACACGAATAACTCCCAAGGCTTTGGACAAAACTGCATGCATAAACAGCCCAAAACAGACACAGACACATACATATGCACACACAGCAGTCATTTGCAAATGCAATTGGCTCCGGCACGTTCCCCTGCATCACACGCTCCTGATTGTTTTGGTTTTTTTGTCCTTCAAATCACAAACATGCATTGATTCCTTTAAAACCCTGACTTTTTTGTTTGGGAGAAAAGCAGAAAGAAATCATTTATTTTACTGTAGAAATTGGGTCTTTTTATGTAAATGTGAAATCTGCTGGAGAAAAATGGACACGTGCCAATTTTCATCACCACTGCCTTGTTGTATCTCTATTACCAACAGTTCATATCAACAATCGTAACATTTATTTTATAACTTTTCTCCACCTTTTCATTAACTGCCCTGCACTTTTCCCCTTCATCACCATATTAAACATGCAGAAAAATGCAAATGGAAACAGGGATGTTTCAGTAAGAAAGGATTGGACAGTATGATGTTTAAAAAAGCAGCAAAACAAAAATCAGAAAAAGACTCAAAACACACCCATCCTTAAGGCACTGTCACCATCAAAGTCCACCTTTCCCTCTCGTTCATTCACTTTTCCCCATCTGTCTCCTTCAGAGTCAGTATTCCTACAGCCCTCTTCCTCACTTAATTTTCTTTTCTTCTTTCATAAATTCCCTCCCGTTTACCCCCCCATCAATTTTCCTCTTCCTTCAGTCTCCTCCAGCCAGCCAATTCATAGCTTCTCTCATATCTCTCACCCTCATTCATTCCACTGACCTAATCTCCTCTGCCTCTGCCCAGGGTGTGTATGTGAACGTGTCTGCGTGGAAACACTAACCTGCCCTTCTGGCACGCTGAGCAGAGCCACGCTTTGTCCCTCTTGCTGTAGGTGCAGCAGGTCTTGCAGACGTTGTACTGGCAGTCCGGGCACTGGCGCTTGGGGTTGAGCAGGAAGGTGAAGGGCGCGCAGCAGCGGATGCAGCAGTGCTCGTTGAAGCGGTGCTGCTTGGAGAGGATGGAGCATCTGCTGCCTTCCTCCGCCAGCTCCTGCTTCATCTCGCTGAAACCGGGAGAGCGAGAGGGAGAGAAAGCGAAAGAGAGAGAAAGAGAGAGAGAGAGATAGGATGAGGGGAGGGAGGGAGAGAGAGAGAGAGAGAGAGGGGGGATGTGAGCGCCTGGTTGAGAGGTAGGACGTGAAAACGGCGGAGGACGCCGCGATGCAGAGTGAATGAAAAAACTGTGGCAAATGAAAAATTGGGCAGTGGGGGGTGAACAAGGGAAGGGCAGAAGGGGTCAAGGGTTTGGTGAAAACACTCTGCTGCTCCATGTTTCTGCCTCAAACGCCTTCTCTTTCCCTTACGCCGATTTTGTGGAATTAACGTGATGGCTGACATTTCAATTTGCGAGGACCTGTCATGCCTTTTTTTTTTGCACTTCAGTCGGAACTCTGCTGAGGACAGCATGTCATGCGCATCCAAAGCATCAGATGAAACTGAATTGTAGTTTGTTAATCAAGATATTATGAGGTTTGGAATAATTACAATAAACTGGCTTAAATCGCAGTTAAGTTGAAGGTCAATACACACAAATCAGCCTGACTGGGAAAAAAGGAGCATAAATAGAAAGCCTCTGATGAGTTACTCAAACTAAGGTTTAAAAATCACATAAGTGATGAACAAAGACTCGCTGATCACATCAGAGAACTGTTTCCACTGATCAGCAATTAGGAATTAGGCTAAAAAGTTGAACAAAACCAACTGAAAAAAACAAACAATAATCCACAGTCTCAGCTGACTCTGACAATCCTACAGCTTCCAAAAATTAAGTGAGACTAAATTTATATCCTTCACCTGTAGCTGGGTATTAAGCTTATGAGAGAGACAGTATAATACGGACTGTTAATCAGTGTTTTAACCAGCAAAGCATCTTTCCTATCCGAAGCCTCAAGTGTTCACATTAACTATGCACATGGGTTTACCTCTGCAGGATTTGTGCTTACTGGGCAAAATGCAAAATCAGCAGAGGCTACAATAAATTATGTAATGGTTCGCATTTGTATCATAAACACATCCTCATCATCATCATCATCATCATTCGATGTTGCACTTGTGTCAGCTATATTTAAAATGACCCTCAGTGAGAAGGAGAGCTCGAGTAAGAACACATTTATCCATGTTTACATCATCAGCCATCACTTGTCATTAGGCACGAGCGGCAGCTGAGATGCAGAGATCGAGATGTTGCTGCTGGCGAGGTGTGAAAGTGAGTTCAGCTTGAATGGGCAGCGGGTAAATTATTTAAAGCCTCTACCCTACCCTCAACCAGGTCACGGCCTACTGAGCTTACGCTGATCTCACAGATGCACACATGTGCATGGCAGATGGGGCTTATATGTGCATACCACAGGCGTTAGAAGTATTCTTTACGCCACAGAGTCAATCCTAACCAAACCACTAAGTCATACATGAAAAATTAAGTAGGGAGCAAAAAGTGTGGTGAATGCAGCATATTGCAAATTTCCTGTGTGTATTTTGTGTACATGTTGTGTCGAACCAGCGGGGACCCTGCACTCTCCTGCTTCCCTAAGTTATTAACGCTGCTCCTCGAGCAGATCTCCTCTGCCGCCTCGCTGATTGCTTTTCCTATGCATCATTAGACGTAGCATAATAACAAGACGAACCAACCATTTCATATACAGCACCATGTGAGAAAGAGGTAGGTTTGGGGTGACGAGCGTGGGCGTTGCATATGGACACGGACGTAAACAATTATATACAAAAAACGTATTCAAAAGAAGGCTTTCATAGTTTTGCAGCTGGCAAATATTGGTTGCACTCAAATTAAATGATAAATGAAAATATTCAAAACACATTTATGTGCGCAAAGAAAAGCAAGGGAAATATATGCAGAGAACATTAATATCTCAATAAGCTAAAGAGGCAATTGCCTGGAAATCATTTCCCTCAATCCTGATTATGATCAGGATCCATTTTGCCTTTCTGCTTTCGTGTTATGGGTTTAATGAGCAGCCCAGTTAGACTGCAGCTAGCTATAGCCATTTAATTAAATGATCGGGCAAATGTACACATATCCAAAGACAAAGAGTGCTCATCATGCCTGCTATCGCTTCACATTACCTCATTTCCCTGTTAATGAGACATGAAAACCTGTGCTCAGTGCAGAGTAATCGGTGTAGATACATGTGGGTCATCCAGGTATTAGCAAGGCACAATTGGCCTCAGTGAGAAATAACACAAGGCGCTCTCTATTCACAAAGCAGTGTTTTGAGTTACTGATTTTTAACAGGTGTTTGGCATACAGCTTATAATATAATAATAATGTGCTGGAAATATTATAGCATTACATTTTAAAGAATGCTCCAAAATTCCTGCTAACGGTTGATAGCTCAGGCATGCTAGAGTAAAAAAATAGAACTGCAAGCTCCTTGTGAAAGAAAAGAGGAACATCTGCCATTGCCTTGTGCTTGCATTTAATTACCAGCTCATTTTTGATCACAGGGTGGTTGGCAACCCGTCTCCAAACAGTCATGGTCCACCTCAGAGGATCACTCTCAGACAGACTGGCGAAAGTTTGCAAATAACCGCCATCTACTATATAAACACATGACACAACATGTTGCAGTCAGTCTTAGTCAGTCTGCAGCACTGAGAGCAACTTGTCTGAAACGAGTCTCTTTCAAATAGGACACTCTGGCTGCAGACTGGTTTATTAGTATTTGTTATTCGGTATATATGCCTATATAAAAGATTATCCTATATAAAGGATTTCTGTTTCAGATCTTTGGGTTTCTGACTGAACTCTGAATGTATGGAGTTAATGTGAAGGACGATGATAACAAATTTGCAATTTTCACAGGTTTATCATAATTAATTGCCATATTATCACAAACAGATTGCATATAATGGTCAACTGGACCCCATTCAGTCAAACTCATAGCAAACTGACCTCATCTTAACAGTGTTTCAATGCACCAACGTCGCGTGGAAGCTGACTACTGACTACGACTGAACGGAGACCTGATCCCAGTCTTCAAAGGAACCATTTCAAAGGCAACAAGGTCGCAGGTTCATTGCACAGTAATTTTGCTTGTTTTGAATCACTGTTTTTCCTACTGTACTAAGTTTACTAAGCTACAACACAAATATTTTGTTTAAATTTCTGCTTCATCTTTTTGGTCCAATGTCGTTGTCTTCTTCCAGTTGCTCCCTTTAAAAAAAACAACACACAAATGTGCGAAATAGTTAATAACTGGACTTTGTGGTAACACTGACATTTTCTTTTAACCCAACTCAGAGTACATTGCTTTTATACATCTTCTCTTGCGCTATGCAAAGAGATTTATCTCCTATATCACAGTCTGAGACATTCTTGTTGATCTTTAATTGATTCACACAGAGATCTTTGGTTTAATAAGAGTGTTGTGCTTACAAAAAGCTCCATAAATAATTCAATAATGAGGGTGAACTGTTTAAAATTCACTCTTTTATCTTTAAAGGAGGATAAAATACTACATTTTTATTTATTAAATAAGGTCAGTCACTCATTAAAATTAATCGTATTTTGTCAATCAATATGTGTATTGCACTACTATAACAGAATGGGCTGAGAATGTTTGGGAAATGACAGTAACCATTAAATGAATTTAAAAACAATATTTATATAGTTACAGAGCCAAACTGTTGATTAACCGTCACATTTATCAATTTTACTTCATCTCGGCTCAGTTTATTTTAGAATAGAATAGAATAGAATTCAACTTTATTGTCATTGCACATGCACAGGTACAGGGCAACGAAATGCAGTTTGCATCCATCCAGAAGTGCTTAGTGATATAGATATATTACAATATATATTAGCAATAATATAGATATGTAAGTATATTACAGAAATGGGTCTATTATGTTATAATGTACACGGTATGAAGTATGTTGTGAATATTCTATAACTATAAGTATGTACAGGCTGTAGTGAGTACAAGCTATGTACAGGCTATGGACAGGATATAAATATGAAAAACTATACAGAATATGAAATAAATAACTTTACAGAAATCTGAGATATACAGCTATACAGAAATGGGAACTATGCAAGTTGTAAACAGTTGTAGGGTTAAAAATTATCGTATGTACAGAATGATTGTTTACACAGGGCTATACAGTAGTGCAGTTAAGGTAAGTGAGGGTGTGGATAATTTCTACAGAGGCTATATAAAGTGCTAGTGGTTGTGAGTGGTGGTTCACTCCATGTTATTATTGTGTGTTTGAGGGTACAGTTGTCCATTGTGGGTGTGTGTATGTTCAGTCCATGAGTTAACGTGGGTCAGATGTCAGGAGGCAGAGTTCAGGAGTCTGACAGCTGTGGGGAAGAAGCTGTTCCGGTACCTGGTGGTCTTAGTCCGGAGGCTCCTGTAGCGCCTCCCAGAGGGCAGGAGGGTGAAGAGTCCATGTGATGGGTGACTGGGGTCTCTGATGATTTTCCCAGCCCTTTTCAGACACCGCTTCCTGTAGATGTCTTTTATGGCAGGAAGTGGTGCTCCGGCGATGCGCTGGGCAGTTTTCACGACCCTCTGCAACGCCTTCCGGTCCGAGGCAGAGCAGTTCCCGTACCAGACTGTTATACAGTTGGTCAGGATGCTCTCGATGGTGCAGCGATAGAAGTTCACCAGGATGTCTGAGGACAGGTGGTTCTTCCTCAGAGTCCTCAAGAAGAAGAGGCGCTGGTGAGCCTTCTTGACCAGCTTGGAGCAGTTGGTCGTCCAGGTGAGATCCTCGGAGATGTGGACTCCCAGGAACTTGAAGCTGCTCACACGCTCCACAGCCGTCCCCTTAATGTGGATGGGTGGATGTGGGTCAGCATTCCTCCTGTAGTCCACGATGAGCTCCTTGGTCTTCTCGGTGTTAAGACTGCCAGGTAGAGCAGGTTAACCACTAGCACTGTATTCACACCATCTCTGGGTTTCCTCGCTGCATTTGAAATGCGTATAATATAATTAATTACTGAAGCCTTCCTTAATGTCAACATGATTAACTGTAGCAGCTC